CAGTATAAACTATGATAATAAAAGTGAATAGCCTTACATATAGTGTACTAAACAAATTATACATAGGTTAGGTGAGGTACTGATAAAGGTTAAAAGTAAAAATATTGCACGTATGTTAACATTTTAAAATGGGAGAGATGACCGAAGGTATGATTACCTTTCCGCTGAAAGCAATGTATCGGAAAAACAAATACACATTCCGAACAATTCGAACCATAGCTGACAACATTAAATGGCAGCTTCAATAGTAAGTTTTACAAATTAGTTAATATCTTGATGAATACAATAGATTTTGATANATTAGTTAATATCTTGATGAATACAATAGATTTTGATAAAGAACTGTGGATTATAAGGGAAATAGATTTGATGGATATAATTAAATCGTAATATCAAAATAATTCCAAACACAAAAATGGAATAAAGGAAGGAGAGCAACTTGTTAGTGAGTCTATTAGCTAATGGTTGTATCATTTATTATTATATGTTAAAACGTTACTTGTATAAATATTTGTCCTGTTGTTGGTCCAATACGTTTGATTGAATTACTTTAGAGTTTTTTAATTTTATCAATAAATTGCGAACAACTACTGGCCTAGTAAACAGATAATTTCTAATTAAAGATTAAGAATTTAGCTATAAATAATGAATTCTTAAAAGTTTTATCGGGGTTGTAGAGTCCGATTGGAAGTTTTAGAACAACAAAGAATGGAGAATGTTCATCGGCTCAGATAACCAAGTCATGTGATTCATGTAGGAGTCAGATCGGCTATAGCATCAAGTAGTAGTACACCATATCAAAATTGGTCACACCGTTCCTTTAATAATAAACTATACTTTAATTAAAGTATAAAGTGAAATTATACTTTAGTAGTATAATAAGTTAAATTATCTATTATTCATGCACTTAAAATATCAATGACTAAAATTCAGGGTCATTTCGAGAGAAGCATTAGGGTGTAATACCATCTTAATTAAACATATTTGACACGTGATGTATACCCAAAAAACTTATTGGGAAATCAATAAGAACTATTCCATTTTTACATTAGGTGCCATTTGCATAAATAGTTATTGAAGTTGGTTTTTTTTCATATTATTGGCATAGTTTTACAGATTAATTTGATGTAATCAAAATTGTCCTTGAGTTTTTAACACTTAGATCACTTGATCCTGCCACGCTTCATTTATTGTTTTAGTTGAACATTTTTTTTATAAATCATGTTGCTAGTAAAAAAAAAATTTACAATTAAACAAAAAATACATTCAATTACTTAAATAAATTTTACCCCTGTCTATTTTTGCTATTCCTAAAAATAACAGTTACTATTCTTGAAATTGATAGACTTTGTACTCTTTGTTTTTACTATAATTAGTATTAGAATTATTTGATTATTTGACAAATAATGCATGATACATTTGTCTCGTAAGCTAATCACTATTGATCTTACTTTATATAATATTGTTATTATGTGTTTATTTATTTAATCATCTATTAAAACAAATAATGTATATGTAAAAATGGTAGTTTTTTTATGATTAATATGGTATATAAAATTAGTTATTTGTTGATCTTGTATGAGCATGAGAATAATTGAGTTACTACATATTATTTTAATAAAATATCATAAAAATATGTAAAATATAGAAAAGTTAAGTAATGTTTGAAAATTTATTAATATAAAAATAATGTGAAATAGAAATAATTGTGATTAATTATCACACATAAATTGTCAACAACGCCGCTCGTACTAGTAGTTATCTTAGATTGTGCTTATTGTGAGCCGTGCCAATAATTATCTGGAGTAGTATAGGAACCACGAGTAGGTTCTCTATCTTTGCAAGGGAGTCTTTATTAGTATTGACTACACAGGTAACCCACTCAATGATTGTACTAGGCTGGCTGACTTCGTACAAATGTTATTGATTTCCTTTATTTATTTAAACAATAATTTATTCTTGAGATCACATTATTTTTCTAGTTCCCTACTTAATTTATGTACTCATTATACTTTAAACCTTATAAATTTTCTGTGAAATATGAATTTACCTTCATGATATCAGAAGTAAGGTTGAAAAATAAATATACTTAAATTTTCTGTGTGAAATCGTAAATTTGTCGAGCCACTTCTTGCACTTGTTAAAAGTTCATAAAATGAAGAAGCAATGGATCGAATTGACAGTTTTTGTGCCCTTTTATATTAAATTTAATTCATCTATATGTGCAAGAAGTGTCACGATCTTTTACTATTATCTATTTATTACTTAAATGTGTTAGTTATTACATTAGATTTGTATAAATGCATTTTTATACATATTTCTCGGAATAGTTTAAAAGATTGATATTAATAATATATATTTAATTTGATGATCAATAGACAATAATTTATAGACTACAGAATAATGAGTGGTGTATGTATTATAACACGTTTGGCAAATGAAGCCGACCGCGACCAAGTTTCGAACCCAAGGCAGTGCGCGTCAAACACTGTCGCATTACTGAGTCAGCCACTTATTATTATTACTTTTTAATACTTATCCATGTTGAAATGTAATATTTCAAGGCGGGCAGGTATGTCATAACATTATACATAAAAAACTTTATAAAACGTTATATCGTTAAAAAAAAAAAATTAAAACGTTTTAAAAGTTATAACATTAAAACGAAAAGAAAATTTTCATTTCAAACTATAAACCCTGATTTAAACTATAAAGTCATAAATTAGTTATTTATATCTATGAATTATAACGTCATTTGTTCATGATAAATTTGTATGTAACAAATAAATAAGTAATCAATATTTTTTTGATTTTCTAGCATATATAACCATATATAAATTAATATTTTCAAAATTAAGTTAACACATTAAAAATTAAACAATAGTTTAGTATTTGAAAAAAAATTAGAAAATATTGTAGAATGCAATATCAAATTTATATTGGACTGTTGTTTTTTGTCGTTATTTCGCCATGTCAATCAATGGAATCCGTATCTTTGCATAATTCGGTAAAAAAATTAAAATTAAAAATAAATAATGTCATATTATAAGTGTCTTTTTTTTTATATAATAGATATCTAATATACAAAAAAATTTAGAGTGGTTAGGAGAATTACTTGAAAAACAAGAACGTGAAGCAATTAGAAAAAACGAAAGGGTAACAATTTAATACGGATATATTAATTATATTACAATTATTTTATAATGATTCATAAATAAAAACATCAATTAGTCAATAAAATTTAAATTAATCAGACATGTAAAATATTAATATAAGTAAACAATTTACAAATATGACAATTGTGATTTTTAAAAAATACATTTTTTCAAAGAATCATCAAATTTTAAAAATGATTCACGAATATAGATTTTAAAACATTTATTACTATCTATATAATTTGAACGCGATAAATAATCTTTTATGTAATTTAAGACTATTATATATTATTTTTATATTTTTATCAGATAAGAGAAAAGTTATTGAAGACAAATAATAAAACTTCTTTTCAAAAATTAAATTATGACGACAAAGTAACTATTAATAAAATAAATTTTTTAACACTAAATAATAATTTGATAAACTATAACTATTTAATCAAATTAGTTAATATATCATTAATAAAAAATGTATTATTTCTCAATTGAAAGTCATAAGGTAGATTGAGGGGTAAATCTATATACATAAATAAAAATAATTTTTTTGTGAAAATAAAATTTATGACTTTACAAAATTATGAATTTGTGAAGTACAAGTATTTTGTAATAACACCCTTGTAGTGTATGTATTTATATATAAGATTTGAAAATTTGAAAATTTTTCAATTCTCCTAAAGTTTTTTATAATTAACAATAGAATAGATTTTTACTTTTTAATTAGGTTTTAAATTTTTTTACTAAATCAAATCGTCAAATCGTCCCTGTCATCAGCCGCCTTATGACAACGTGAGCCCAGCCGAAGTGATTAGAGTACCTTTGCTATCCATCTAAGATACCAAGTCTATTCGATCACGGCCAATCACCAAGCACAAATTGTATATATATATATATAATTTTTTAAACTTTTCTTTAGTTTGAGTAGTTAAATTATTGTCAAGAACAAGAGATCGTTATTTATTTTTATTACAGTATAGTTTTTACTTAACCAGTGCTAAAGTTACTGAATATTGTTACACTCGTTGACTTTCTATGGTAAAATATTTGGTATTTTATCGAAACCAACTTAAAATTAATTTTGAAAATTCTTTTATATACCTACAGTACATTCTATTAATAATTATTGAAAATGTTAGTCGACTTTAGATTAAAAAAGTTTTGAAATTTTCAAGTCTTAATTATAAAAACATAGATTATTGAGGTATTTTTACGAAACACAGGTACTAAAACCGGTAATTTAAAAAAAACAACCGATAGTTTAAAGTAGTAAAAGACAGTTTATCCTGCCTTAGCCTTAATAAATTTAAACAATTGTTTAAAATGAAGTTTTTAGAGTCAAAGTATAACTAATTTTTTTAGTATTAATCAATATTTTCAAGGTTTTTTTTTTAATTTTTAAATTTTACTCTGTGGTTTTATTATTTTTAACCAAATATTTACTAAGGGCTAATTGTTAATTTGGTACTGTCTAGGACTCGTATTCCATTCTATTATAAACTCAATTTTTTTCAATATGGCTCAGTACATAAATATGATTACATCAATACTAGTTAGCCAACTGTCAACTCCTAGTACTGTGCCCGTAGTAAATACTTACGTTTCATAAATATTTCAACTTGGAAAAGTGTTTTTAACTATTTTTTTTCAAATATCAAGTCATTTAGTGTTCCTAAAGAAATTCAGCCAATAATTGAGAAAATTTTCCCAGACTCAACAAGTATTTATACCATTAAAGATGTCTTGGAAAACATTGAAAAAAATAATTACACTGGCACAGCAAATATAATACCAAAATTAAAACAATTCAAAGGTAACAAAAAATATGTTGAATAAATTTACATATTATCAATTATTGAAACAAAATATAAAATAAAAGATATATTTAGATTATTAATATCAAACTAAAAATATAAAGAATATTTTACTCAAAAGTCACAAAAATTACCATAAAATCGCGAAATCCAAATCTACCACCTTCTCAGCATCACATCATAGCTAAAAAAAAATAACCAACAATTTGCCTACAATTTATATTCAAAAACTTTAATTTTCTTAATTGAATTTAGTGGTACGATGTTCGATTCTCATGGGGCGAGAAAAATTATTTCACATTTCTCTTAATTTTTAGAGATAATTATATAATTACGTAATAAATAAGTAGTATTTTAAATTTAACCTATCATCTAATTATTTTTATGAATTTTTATACAAAATAGTTGTTTATTTCACCAATCTTCAATTTCACAATCAATCAATCCCAAATAATAATTATTAACAGATTCATATTTGATAAAATGTTTTTTTTAATGTTTTTGAAATTCTAATACTAATGAAAAAATCATTTATATTAATAATAATTTAAAATACTTTTAAAAAATTAAGAAAAAATTACTCTAAATCTTGCTGTACCTCTAGCACTAAAGACACACGTATTACCAACTGTTAATACATCGCTGTCTTTGTAAGACATAATAATATAATAAATTACATGCATAATAATAATTTGAAATATTTCGTGGACATTTTCAACAAAATATTTTAATTTCTATTGTTTCATGAGATATTAAATCACTATCAATGAATACTTTTTTAGAGTTTTTTAATGATAAATATGATATTTTAAAAAACCTCTCAACCTTGTCCATACCTGGAGACCCATCCAGACGTTTAAAATGTAAGTGGTGCCGTGATCTTCTTTCTACTAATATTAATTAATAATAATATAATTAAGTCATTGGAAATATAAAATAAAAATTCTAAGAAAATTAAAAATTAAAAAAATCACGGGAAATGTCACTAATGAGTGGTTTCTTCCGTCAAAATGTATTCATGTAAATTTTTCTACTCTTATCATATATGCTTATTGTGCTCATTGTACAGATTGTAGATTTCTAATAGAAAAAAAAAATATATATGATATTTATATATTGTACTATTTAGCATATTTTTGTTTTTAGAAATCACTCAACTATTCATAAATGATCATTTTTATATCTATTTTCTGGAGGAGTGAGGCAGAATAACTTGTAATTATAAATAAACATAACCCACAAATTTCCGTCACTTTACATTTAAAAATTTTAATAACTACCAAAATACTCTAAAATACTAAATATTTAGTGGCCAACGATAAATTAATAACTAAAAACAAAAAATAATTCATATAAATTACAAAACAATAGATATCTATATTACTTTTAATTACATAGCACATCACTTTTAATTAAATTTACATACAATATAATCTATTAAGTATACTTCCTTTATTCGACCATTTTTTATTTACAAAATTTGACAAAAAAAAATTTTTACAATTATTGTATTTTTTTTATCAATATAAAAGCTTAGTTTAATAAAATAAATTTATCACATAGATTTTAGAGGCTAACGTTCAAAGTTAAATGCCAATCTAAAAATATATTTTTTAATTTTCTGTGTTTTTGAGATTGAAAGAATTCTAGGTTTCTTAATGTAAGCATATATAAATTATTTTGATAAGTTTAAAATAATATTATTTTTAGAAAATGAATATATTAGCCTTTTAAATTTCCTACAAATTTTGGCGGACAAATATTTCAAAATTCCAAAGCAAATGGTGGAATTATTCAATAATCTTTTTGAAGGATTTCATGATAAGGATACGTTAAAGACGAGATTAATTTCCTTGGATGATTTTAAAAGTGTCCTAGAAAACGTTCTAAAGAATGATGATATCAAAAAAAATATATTAAAAGCTTTTAAAGATATAGAAAATGTGTATTATGAAGGTGCATATCAAATTTTAATTTAATATTTTAACTAAAATTAAAACTATTTCATTTTATTTTAGCATGGTTATTAAAAAAAAGAAAAGATATAAATAGTATGATATTTCGTCCGCATATTATGAAATTTTCGTATAAGGAAGATAAGCACATGAGTAACTCTCGAACATGAGAATAGATGATAATTATTCAAAATATAATCATCATTACAATAGCTGGTTTTTATAACTGCATAATTTTTTATGGCTTATAAACTAAATAATATTAATTATTATTATAATAAATAATGATTATTAAAAATTCGTTTTACTATTATTTACANATAATGATTATTAAAAATTCGTTCTACTATTATTTACATATTTTTTCCGACTTGAATACTCAGTAAATAATAAAAATGATATAATTCTGGATCATGCCTCCACTCTATATTAACAATGTTAACAACTTTTAAAATACTTATTTAAAATTTAAAATTTACAATAAATAAATAAATTCTAGTTATTTTTTTAGTTGGACAACTTACTAACAATTAATCTATTGAAATGTATGTTACCCTATAAAAAAAACGATAACATAGTGACACCAGGTCGCGACACCACAGTGTGGACGTGGTATAGTTGGGACAATATAAATGATACCTGACAGTGTATATTTAACTATCATATATGCGTTTCAGGACGCATACAGAGAAAATAATATTATTCTGATTAGGTAGTAGTAATATAGTTTATTTGAAAAATATAACATATCTCATGTAAAACGAATATTATACAATATTAATTATCTTAATATAGTGATTCTCAAGTTCCTTCATTTTAGTTTGATATTAATTATTTTACGTATTTATAAAATAATATTTTATGTATAAAGTACTGGGATAGTAACATATACGTATGTGTGCATAGATAAATACTTAGAAATAAAAATATATATATCTAGTAAATATATTTTTTAATTATATTCAATCATACAATGACGTAGGTGTTAAAAAAGATGAATCATTATGTAAGCAAATGAATGTATATTTTTAAAAATTACAAAAATATATTCAAGGATATTTCGTCACTGTTTGCTCCATTTCTATTTCTGATATTTTTTATTAAAATTATTATTTTTACATGTTTGACGTTATTTTCTGTCAGAATCAATATTAAATTATGAATAATATAGTTAAAAAAATGTATAATTCAGTTTATTTAGGTATTCAAAAACAATATTCAAACAAAATTTCAACAAATAACTCTTACACAGAAAATAATAATAAAAAAATGTTGACCAATAAGAGTCTTTAAAGAATAATAATTTAATACATGTGACATCCTTGATATATAACAAGTCTTCTCCAATATTGACACCTTGATGATATTTAAATATTCTACTAAACTAGATTTATGTGATCAACATAAATGCTCTTATTATTTATTGAATTATGATAATTGTTGCGCCAGGACACTTCTAAATTAATGATTGGCATCAATAGCTTATGTAAGGATCATGTGGACCAATAATAATACTTAACCTAAAATAAACTATATAACCTTTAAATGTTTAATGTATATATTTTAATGCAATTGTAGCTTTATGGGCTAAGGGATACAATGAAAATACTCTCTCTGGTGTTTGGGTACTACTTGATGTTAGAGCCTGATACGATCACATTTGCATATCCATATCTCTGTCTCCCATAACGTCATTGTACTGTTTAATAGACATATATATATATAATTAACACAGTGACATACAACAATACTAACAGAAGGGCGGACTGTACACATAAACACTTTTGCAATTCACGACCAATGTGCCATAATAATATATCCCTATCGACAGTTGACCTTTTATCATCATCGCTATCACTACTTTTGTCTGATAATTAACTTAACTTTCTACCACGTATATAGTGTGCGAGTGTGTTTCACCGTCAGATCTTTGTTGGATTATATTATCTCTAGGTGTCCAGCAGGTTGTATTATCTATTTAATATTTCGATCACTTAATAAATATTTATTTATATCGTTGTTAACCTAAAGTGTTATATATATATTGTAATGCGACCCTTGGTAGTATCTCTAAGGGAATATAAATTAAATAGGAAACCTCAGTACCTATGGTAGATATAGCCTAGCCAACTATACCCCGTTGGTCCCTTAGAATACTGTGGACGGGCATTTAGGCTCAACCCCTAAATAGCGACGTAACAATTGGTGGAGGCGCCGAACTCTCTGTTTATTTTAAACTTTTAGTGAGGGATCCCCCCTAAGTGTACTACAATTTTTATATACCGCTTTTCACGGTTAATTTATAAATTAAATATTTTTTATTTATTATTGGCTCACTTTATTATAATAGTAACAATTGTATGGTTAGGTATAACTATAATTTAAGTCTTTGAGTTACATAATCTTTTATATACGTTTATATTCCTCTCAATAATTATTATTTAAAGCGCACCTTCAATAATCAAACTTATAGAATTACCGATAGAGTTTGGAATTTAATAGCTAATAGATAAGTACAATGGGAATATTAATAGGAATAATAGCAGGAATTTCAACAATAATAATAGGAATCTTAATAATAACAGTAGAAATTTCGATAATAATTATAATAATTTTGGTAACAGCAATGGCAATAATTTTAACAATATCACTAGATATAATAATAAATATCAAAATTACAATAATTCAAATCGAAATACAGACGGTCATTTTTACAATTCTAATAATAATAATATTAATAATGGTAACTACAAAAACAATCGCAATTTTAATAATAATAATTCTTATAATAATAACAGATTTTCTAATAATACAGGTCAAAATTATAACAACAATAATGGTGGGCAAAATCAGGGCCCAGGAGGTCCGTCTACTAATAAGTGGGCCCCTAATCAGCGGCGCCCGCAGTAAACTCAAAAAAACGAATAAGTCAAAATTCGATGGTT